CTAAAAATAAACATCAAAATTTGAGCCGATGAAAGGTTTAAGAGAGATGATTAAACGGGGAATCATCCACCTGCACACGGTTGGTACTGGTTTGAAATCAGGATTATAAATATTTATAAATTTTTTTTACATATTTATATTATATTTTGTAAATTATAATTAAAATTTTTTTTATAAACTATTCTAGACGCATGGAATAATATTGGAAGAGACAGAGATGGGATTGGGCGGTTAATAAACAGTATTAGGAAATTAAAGTATGGGGGAGGACATCGGATCTGTCACAAGAGGACAAAGGCTGCTTTGATACGTTCTCCGTTTATCACATGTTCTCCTTTGTCCTCTCCTCAAACGCAGCTCTGTGGTCCTCTTTCACAAATGCCCCACTAATCTTATTTTCAAGATCTCCATATGAATCCTTTGAGTTTGACAGCAACTCCTTTTCTTCTTTGAAATAAACTTTTAATTTAGACTTTTCATACAGTAACTTCACATGTGGCAGTACATTTGTACATTTATTTATTTCTCTATCTATTTGGATTAAAAGGTCTCGGCATATATGCATACAATATATATGTGTATGGAGCCTCGAACGATTCCTCCACTTTTCTAATTACTACTAGTACTCTTCTGATCTTTAATATAAGATTAATTATTGAGTTATTTTTGTTCTAAATATAAGACTCATTTCTCATATTTATCAATTTTCTCTAAATTACTCCTATTAACACTCCCTCAACCATAATCAAATAAAAGAGGGAAAGGGATATTAAAAAAGACGATTATAATGTTTTAAGAAAAACGTGTCATATTTCTTATAATTAACTAACTTATCTAACTTCCTTAATCTAATCAAATTAGTTAAATATGTCTTATATTAAGGATTGGAGGAGTATTATTTTTAGTGTCCGTTTTTTTATAAAAAAAAAAGGTTTATTCCGGCAAAAAAAAGGTTAAATATTTAGTCTCTGCTTCATTTCAGTGACACATGGCTCCATAGGCAGCGATGTTCTGGGAAGCATCAATGATTAAAGCTAATGATATTTCAACAAATAATAATGATGCTAGACAATGAATTTAATCGGAGATGAAGTACACCTCAAGAAAATAATTTAAAATATAAAAATTGAAAAAACCAACAAGCCAAAAAAACTACTCCTCTGGTTTTATTTATAAAACATTTTCAGCATATTTAACACAGACCAAGAAAAATTTTAAACTTCATTAACTCTCATTTAAAATTTAATGACTTTCCAAACTTTATCCTTATTTAATATACATTATACCTCATATAAACAAAGTCAATACAAAAATAAATGAGGGTAAAATTGTACATCCATACAAAAAATTTCTCTCATGCCTCATAAATAAGACCGAAAATACTTTCTCTCTCTGTTCTATAAATAGGATCACAGGAGTACTAATTAACATTGTCAATATGTATCAGCAGCGATCTACAACACAGGACTGCACCTGAAATATATATTTTCTTTCTTCTTTTGACCTTTATTTTGTTGCAGAGGTACTCTTTCACCGTACCACCCCCTCTCCACTCTTTTATTATGAGATGTTCTTTTATCAGCAAATATTCCAGTGAGTTAAATTTTGATCAGTTCACTGGCGAGAAAATCTCATATCCAAAAGTTATTCACAGATATTTATTTCGGATACTTGTAATACAGCTCTTATATGGACAAAACTAAAATGCTTGTTCATATAACATATTAGCCGTGACTTTTTAGCCAAATCATTGAAAAATCATTTGGGTTCTTTAATTTTTTGTTTGGTTACGTTATAAGAGGGTGTAAATCCTTAAATGAAATGAATATATATGGTTTTGAATCTTATGGCCCTACAATGTAAGATTTAGGCATCACAATGATTTGGAACGTAACAGCGTCCAGAGGTAAGAACGAGTTGTTGGATTCCTTGAAGAGCCAACAAAGAAAGAATAATGATTCATTGTCCCCCCCCCCCTCTCCTGTTTCTGTCTATTTGTGCATCTTCTAGATCTCCTTTTACTCACGGACTTCCTATCTAATTGATCTCACCCTTTCAATTTATATTATTACTCCCTTCCTTTTCATTTACCTAAACCCTTAGTCTCTCTCTCTCTCTCTCTATCTCATAGACAGTTGTGTTTTCCTTTCTCATCACAACAATTTATATGCAAATGTAATTATGTTTATCAGCATCATCATTCTCTCCTGTAATTTCAAAAGCTCATCGGCCCTCTCTCTCTCTCTCTCTCTCTCTGTCTGCGTGCGCTTTGCCTTTTAAGAACCAACTAACTAATCCATTATTTAACTGAAACCAGAAATTTGGGAATTAGGGCAACTTTTTATAGCCACTAAGGTAGTTTTCCACACAGGGACGTTCTATTTTCCTTGACAATGATTGCTCGCATCTCTCTCTCTCACTACTCACCAACGCCATTCGTACTGAGCTATATTCCTATATATATATATATATATATATATCCACTTTATGTTCCTTCTTTCATGTTGTTGCTCTTCCCAACAACTTTAATTTTGTCAAACAAAAAGTCTTACATATCATTCTAATAGAATTAACACCACTAGTCAGGATAAATATCACGATGCTAAATTTAACGACCGATCGAGGAGCTATTTTCTGAGTAATTAGTGAGCAAGACAGCGAAGGATGATATATATTCCTTCCTATTTCCTCACTAATCAGTCAAGTGAGGGATTGGCCCCAGAAAATACACATTATTGCATGATGACAATGGGCTTTAGTTAATTATGCCACATGCCATCACCACATTAGTTATGGGTCCTACCTAGCTCCTACCTGTAGCTACGTACCTTGTAGGCCTCATGCCACATCATCACCACACCATATGTTCATTTTTTTTGAACGGTCCAGTAGATATTCAGTAGCAGAGCAAGTGGCAGATGTAAGTAGTAATGTGAAAAGTAGTTGTAATTATTAAAGATGATGAAGCGCTGAATCAGAAGGTGGGGGAGATGGCTAAAGATAAGCCATACAGTGTTGAATATATAAAGACAACATGGGAGGCCGAAAAAGTCAAGGCCTGCCAACATTCAATAACAACTCAATTTGAATATAGAATGATAGTCAATTACAAATGGGTCATTGATGATATACATATAGCTTGCAGAATCAACAGCTGGTGATCTCATGAACACAGATTGAACCGGAATATCCAATCCACTATAATTAATTAAGAGAACTCCTATCCGGTGCAAGATTTGTGAAGAACAACAAATCATCATCACCACTCACAGCTCCTTTTCTGCTGATGAGACTCCACACACACACACACACACAGAAAGAAAGAAGTAATACTAGCAATACAAAAAGGGGGGCAAAGGAAAGGAGGCATCGAGGGTGGTTAAAAGAAATAAGAACCAAAAGTAAAAAAGTGAGCCAGGCGGTTAAAAAGAAGGTAGTATTCAAAGCATGAACAGTGGGGTTTCATCATAAGATCATTATCGACAACTTTAACACGTTGGAGTATGGTCAAAGCGTCATTATATATAAAGGTGAAAGCGGCGCACAGTGTAGAATGGAGGAAGACAGCCACGTACGTTTACGTTTATTAGGAGAGTAAATTAACAGTGAACACAATCCCCTTATTACGACAGGTCTGATATATATACTGTTAAAATTCACTTCAATTAGAGTCAAATTAACCTCCACATCTCTTAAACTATTTACTCACGATATCATTACTTTCCATCTTTAACAATAACTGTTTATAATTATTTACAGAACTGCACCAAACAATGTCTTAAAATTTACGTCTGGGACATAATTATCGCTCCATAAATGACTTTGTGCATGTGCCAAGAGCAATCACCATGAATGATATGAATTTTTCGGATGAAGAAGAAGAACAGGTCTTCCAAAAGCTCTATTGGGCCAGAAGCCCATGACCTCCGTATGCTGTGTGTGCACGTATCTGTATGTAGTTGTCATAGTATATCGTAATTGCAGAGTAATAAATACTATTTTACGCATTTAAATTATTACTCCCTTATTTCCAATTCAATCAATTAGTGTTATTTGAAGCAGACAGATAATTCAAAAAAAAAAAGAAGAAGGGGTGTTCTTCAACTTTATCTTATCAATTCAATTATCAACGCTCATCCACTTACTTATCTGGAAATTACTCAACAAAACCTCATTGGTGAAACCGCACAAAATAAACGACTTTATGTATGTCATCATGTTGACCTTCAAAACTAATCATACTCCTTTTGAATCAATATTTCATAATCATATCAATAAACACTTCAAATTAACGAATTCCGTCCCGTCCAGTTTCATATGATTGTAATTATTATTATCACTATTTCGTATCATCATTGTATGTTGCATCATGCTGATCAAGTATTCAGAGGGTACTTTTTAGAAAAAATTAAAGGAAATTCATGTAATTTATTCTAAAAATAAACAGAGTATCTTGGACCAACCATCGCATCATGAACCATTAACCAAAAATATATACATAATATATACACACACACACACACATTAATAGAATCTGAAACATTCGCATATATTTTCTAACTACGTTTCATTTTCTAGTTAAAAATAAAAGAAGGACAATAATTAATACCCGGGCACATCCTCATGTTGATATGTTACTCTCTCATTCTACCTATACATTTTCTAACAGAAAATGCATCTGCAATGTTGCTGTGTGATCCAATAAAATTTCAGGGGCAAAGAGGCAGGCGGGTATAATGTGATAGTGATAATGGGCTTGGGCGTACTTATAATGACAGCCCAACAAAAGCCCAAATGCATACCGGTACCATTGACCCCCGTCTTCTTATCGTAGCCCAAATAATAGGATCAAATTTTGCAGAGCAACATCTTCCCCCCCCCCCCAGCTTCCTTTACAGTCATGGTGATCTTTTAAGTGAGATTTTGATCTTGAGAATCTTGATGAAGATTTTTGTTTTTTGGGGGGGGGGGGGTTGGGAAGAGGTAGAAAAGAAAGAATGTATAGAAAATGCCTTTATTTTACAAATTCCAGCCGTGCTAGAGTTACAAGAAGGCATGACTCGGTTAAAGTTGCAACAGTTACAAATATGACTCAACCACACCGTACAGGAAAACTCTCTCGACCAAGCATCATGTTCACATAGGACAGTTTCACAGTCGTCAATTCATTTTTGGACACGACTCATAATTCCTATGATCTTCTTCCTGGTCAGGATCCACAAATCACCAACTGATTGATTTCTGCAGAAACTTAGCTCGCTCGCTCTCTCTCTCTCTCTCTCTCACACACACACACACACACCGGAACTATAAGAAAACTAGGAAGAGAAAAAATCAAAAGTGCTGAAAGGGAAATTGGATTGAAAATCTTCCTTTTCAAGCAAGACATCCAAATCGACCAAAGGGGAATTGGTGACCGAGGTTGGGGCTGAAACTACGTCAGTCACTTCAGATTCTGAACTTTGCACCTTTTGGCATATTCCTGCACTTCCCATGTGACACGGTGACAGAGAAAACAGGTTCGATTCCGAGGTTGATGGGGAAATGAAATTTGCAGAAAAGTTTTCCAGGAACTGGTTATCAGATGTTGAAGGAAATCCAGTCGATGTTGGGAAAATGTCCTCCATTTTGACTTCAAGTTCTGGCTCAAAATTGAAGAATGTCATTAGGGATGGTTCCATCTTTTCTTCTTCTTCTTCCTCTTCATTTCTTTTACGGTGTTGATTATTATGATGGTTTTCTCCAAAAACCATCTTTTTCTTTGATGCCGCTGCGTGGTTGTTGCAGGTATGTTTTCCTCTGTAGGTCACTTCGAATACTGTTGGATCTTCATCAGACCTTTGAACTTGTTTTGTTGCTTGACAGCCTTGTACAAACCTATGAGTGCATCTGTAGTATCCTCTGCAATACGAAACCATTCTTTGTCTGTCAGACATATACATGAGGGTGATAGTCACACTCACATGGTACGCTTTGCGTAAATATAAGAATATGTATAATTAAAATAGTGCTGCTACTTTTTGTTGTTTTATGATAAGATATGGGGAACAGGACAGCTTATTCTCAGCCTTTTCTCATGCTTTCTTTTAGTAGCTTTCTGGGCTAAAGTGGAAGGCCCAAAAATAAAGAACAGATCGGGGGGAGGGGCTATCTTGTCCTTTACTCTCTTCTCTTATCCCATATGTTCTGAGTTTGGCTGCATTATATATTTGCTCTTTAATGCTTAAAGGTACTTCAGCTGCCAAAACCATCCGTAGGCCACCACCAACCATGATTCCTCACATTCAAGTTCTGCATTTGTTGAGTAAATTTTTGAAGTCTTTACAACTAACTTCTGTAAAAAGGGGTATCATCTAGAAAAGCCGATTCATCATTAGGATGCGATAAGGAAACTCTCTAGTAGTAACCAGTTTTCGACAAGGAGGAAATACGAGATTCTAATGTAAAGAATTTATGCAGAGGGAGAGAAAGTGTGGTTATGATTCTAACCTAGGAAATTTAGCTCCGAGGATATCCTTCTGGCCATATTTTCTCCAACTATATCCATCATCCAAGGAACCCTCAATCCCTGTTCTTGAGCAAACCTTCACTTGTTCTGTCCATCTGGGCATGATCTTCCTGCACATCACATAAAAAAAAACACCTTAAGAATCACAGATTCAAACTCTGCAACACTTCAAATCCAGCACAGTTCAATTTCAAGTGTGTCTACCTTTTCTTGTAGGCATCTCTGCGACCGTCTTCCTGGTCCAAGACATCACATCTCGGGCTCTCACCAGCATTAACGGTGGGATTAGCCTCTCCCACATTTTGTCCACGTGTAAGCATCTTGAGTGCTTTCTCATAAGAACAGAGTATTTTGTCAATCAATAACTCATTCGTCTCATGAGTAGAAGAGGCAATACGGTTACAGAGCAACATTGCCAGCTCCTTCCCTTGGTTCAGCTCTTTCGCCAGACTAACTTGCCCTTCCTCCATGGACACACAAAACATGAACTAAGAGCCACAAGGTTTGAACTTCGAACCAACCTCCCAACTTGAACTGCAAACCAAACCTTGAATTCGAGGCTTAAATAAAACAGAGAGAGGGCGTGAGTGTTCAAAAGGAAGTGATGTTGGGGAATTGCTGAGAACAAGAGGTCTGAAGAAGAGTTTGGTCAGGAACCAAAGTTTGAAAAGTGGATTTAGGCGGAAACCGAGTGGAAAAAAATTGTGTTGGAGAGAATTGGGATGAGGAAGGTGCGATCCTTATGATATAAAGGAAAGGTGAGAGAAAAAGAGATGGGTGTGTGTGAGAGAGTGTGAGAGATGGCTTTGGTGGGGGAAGAAGGCGAGAGGAAGAAGGGCTTATAAGCGATGGAAAAGAGAAGGAAATGAGACAGCGATTGAAAAACCAAAACCGAGTGAATTCAATGTTGTTTCTCGGAATATGGGTCCTACTGTTACTGCTTTTGAAACCTTCATCTCCTTTGAGTTTGAGCTCATTATAAAAGTTTATCTAAACACGGATTCATCAATGTAAAACTTGGACTAATATAGTGAACCGCTCTACCATTATATTATAGATTACTCTTCTGTTGTTTGTCTTAAAACTTATCATTATTTAATACTCCCTCCGTTTCTTATTATAAGAGACAAATAACCGAAGTACGTTGATAAAAAAAACAGTTAAAATTAGTTAAGAACAATTAATGTGTAAAAAGTATAATTTTTTTCCAAAAATGCCCTCATTAATAAAGAGAGAGAGCATGAGAGAGAACAATTAAATTATTAAAAGAAAGAGAAGTGGGAGGGAGGGAGAGTGTGAGTTGGAGATAATAAATATGAATAAAATAGTAAATCAACACAAAAAAAGTAGAGACAACTTGTAAGTGTCTCTTATATATAGGAACATGCTATAAGCATCAAATGTCTCTTATAATAAGGAACGGAGGGAGTATATAGCAATCTGCACAATTTAAATGGATGGCAAAATAATATATTTGTATTAAAAATTTAATGATATGGCTTATAAATAGGATAAAAAAATTTTCTCTCTACCTTATAACTAGAATTAAAAGAGTATATAATAATTAATATCATTGACATATAAAATACTATCTCGGGTTCTTATTACAAAAATTAGTTGACTAATTTAAATAGATTAAAAAAGTTTGTTAAGTTTGTTATTTATAACAAATATGTGTTATCTTTTCTAAAATACACTTGTTAATTATGTATATTGCTTAAAATAACCATTTGATGGAAACTTTAATAAATACAATTACTACAAAAGGCTACATAAAAAAATAAATAAACATGGGAAACAAAATAGATTAGGATCTTATATTTAGAATCAAATTAAATATTAAACTAGCTAGATCTTATATTAAAGACAGGAGAGGGTATATAGTAATGAGCAAAATCTATGATAAGCCCTTTATATTCATTTTACTTCATGTCAATATATATTCTTCTCTGCTCTCTCATTTTTAATGTGTAGATATAGTTTAGACTAAATTTGGATAACCTCTATTCAGTTTTTATCATCGCATATGTAAATAAAAGACATAATAAATTGGTCCAAATTTATTTATTTATTGATTTTTAAATCCAGTTCCTAAGTTATCATATGAAAAGTTTCAAAGACAAATGGGCTATACACAAAAGAACAAAAGTACATAATAAATAGATCAATTCTTAGCAAGTCATCATTTGTTAGAGAGAACAAATTAAATTAAGAGAGTATAAAAGGGGAATGAAGTGGGAGAATGATTCAAAGAAAGAAAGAAAGGACAATGGAAAGGGGCACGTGATATTGAACGATAAAGGGATTAATTAATTAAAGGCAGAGCATCAACGCGGAAGAAACTTTGAATATTCCTCCCTCCTTCCTCTTCCTCTTCCTCCTTACTTTCTCCGTTTTGAATTCTTCCAATAATTAATAATCCCACTAAGCGACACTGAAAGTGACACTACTGGTTGCCGTATCTCTCAATAGTGCTTTTGCAGTTCCAGCTTTTGCTGTTTTTTAACAAGCGACAATTATATACGTATATATGACTAATTTATCATGATTTATAAATACAGTTATATATGGTCAGAACTCAGGATTAATTATGATAACTATATGATGAACTGTGAACTTCTCTTAAAAGATACCTTCACTTGCGTAGCTGATGGGTTACTGCTATTTCCTCCATTGTAGATATAAGGCATTTTTACTTTACGTACGCCCGTTAAGATACTCAAGACTTGAACTATTCTCTTCTGATCTTTAAATGCATGAAGAATGGACCATGTCAATGAAGGGAGGTGAGTAGTTTTAATGTACTCTTGAATAACGGATTTTAGGAGGAAAAAAGATATTAATTATCTTTGAAAATGGATACTTGTTGTTTCTTCTAAATAATCTCATTCATAAATGTACAAAAGAAAAATTGTACTGGTAAAAAAAATTGTAATAATTAAACACCTCAAATAAGAGGCTGTTGTTTCTTACAAAGAGGAATACGAGAACTCTCTTAAAATCTCCTCTTAAAAAGGACCAAAGGGAGTAAAATTTAGATAAATTAGGTTGTAATGCTTTATAAGTCAAGGTCAAATTCATAATTCAAAAAATGATTGTAAATAATAAATAGGAAAATTGGGGAAAAATCTGTAAGAACTTAGATCAGAGTGTCAGTATTCTATCCATACAAAAGGTATCGAATATCTGTACTTTCTATGTGTAAAAGTTAATTATGTATGCCCACTTGCTCCTTAAAAAAGTTAAACCCATGCCCATTTAAGGTTTGTATCGCATACTTACTAATCAGATTACTTTTGGTTGGCGACATGGCATCCTTGTAACCCTTCATTGATGCTAAAAGTAAGAACCCCATCTTTTTATGTAAAAGGAAGCGCATGTGAGTGAGGTCAAAAGTCGGAACTAATTACCAATGCCAAAGTAGGTCTCACAGTTTAAAAAGGGTTTTAACCCCAACAAAATTCTTATTTCTTACCTCAATAATAATGAGATTCCAACCCTTCTTTTTTGGGGTTTCCGCCCCCCGGGGGGGCTGTTCACGTTCTTATGATTTGACTAACTGTTACGTGGGATATAACTTTTGAATCCTTGAGTCTCGACCCAACACTCTAAATTCAATGTACAAACACTATAGCGTTTGCTTTGGATTAGGACATTTATCATGTACTATAAATAATAAGCATCTTTTTTTTTTTATAGTTTGTAACATTAAACTAAATACCAAATTCGGGAGAATAAAAATGGTCAAGATAGGGTATGGTGTTTGCCCGTCAACAGTCCTATTTTATTTGACATCCTTTGGTTTTTTTTTTTTTGGAGAAAACAAGTCAACACACTCTTATATAATTCTATCTTCGATCTAATTATAAAAACTAGTTGATAATCTTAAATATAAGACTCCAATTTATTTTGTTTTAGAAATTTTTAATATGTTTTAAAAAAATATCTCTATTTATTATAAGTATTTCCACCTAATATGTTTTAATATATGACACTCGTCGTAGTGTCAACTTTCTAGTTTGTTCTTCTATTGAAAAATGCGCACATGTGTGTATATATAATTATATATATATAGAAATCCATGCGGGTACCTAAACTGGAATGATTATGAAAAGGCCACTTGTACATAGTTATATTGCCTATGGGGCAGCGCCTCTCTGGAGCAGTTTGGTTTCATTTGTTTGATTCACTAGTTAGCTAGCTAGCTAGCTAGGCTACTTACTTAAATGAATAATACAGCTCCACGCACTATAATATTGTTGGGAAGGTAATCATGAAGCTAGTCTAAGTGTGAAGCAATATAGTATACCCTATGAATTTTAGCATCAATAAGATGTGGAATTTGAGCATGATAGATTAATAAAAATATAAACAAATATAAATGCTGAAATTAAAGAGCTACCCACAGCTTCACAGGATGATTTCCAAGGGACAAACATCAAAAGCTTCTTTTGACCCCAAAAAAAAAAAAAGAACTACTATAAAACTTCATATGGCAAAGCAAATGTGAATCACGTGGAAGATGGGGCTTCAACGAAATCACCATTCTTTGGTGGTGTCAACAACAAAAACAAATTAAAAAGAAAAGCAGTCACCTTTGAATCAATAGCTTTAAATGATATTCAAATGATATGACCGATTTTGGTTACATAAATATGTGGTCTAATTCTTTCAAAATGGAGATAAGCAGAACAAGAATAAGATCATCAACTATTATGTCCACATGACTGATTCCCTTCAACTATAATTTTCAGATCTTGGATCTTCTTTTCATTTTTATCCGATCCCTATCGTTAACTGGAAAAAAAAAAGAGTGGTGGAGATTAAGCATTTTATAAAATTATTTGTTATTTCTCAGTAGTACATGGTTATGAATTATTTAGATCAAATTTTATTAATTTAAATTTATTAAACTTTTGATTTTTTTTAATCCAGTGTTGAGAATATAACAAGGAAAAGATAATGAAGAAGAAGGATGAGGAGAGGATCGAAATCCTAATTTTTTTTAATAAAATTTAACCAGAAAATAATGCAGGTTAGTGTGCGTGGTAAGTACATCACTACATTGATAGTGGCTTATTTATATTTTTAATTAAATTAAACGAAGGCTTTCTGAATTTTTTAAAGAGTACAATGATATTATTTAGAAGCTCAAATAAAACGTTGGTGACATTGGAAACCTTATACATCAATTTGTTTTTGAAAGACGAATTTGTCGCAATTCTTTTATTTGTGAATTGAACTCAAGTAGATTACGATTCCATGATTTATACATGTTCTTACAATGCGAAAAAAGTACTTACATTTAATGCGTGACCTCCAAAGCACCTGCATTTATAGCCAAAAAAACAAATAGATGTTAAGATGTGTATTTTTAAATATAAATTGATTAATAAGTTATTGAGCTGTAATTCACATAGAATTGTTTTTGATGAAATGAAATAATTTATATATGTCAACATAATATTTCCGTGGAATCACGATAATGATTGAAAATGTGACTGATTACATATTTTAAAGTTTACGATTGCAAAACCCAATTAAGACACTCAAATAGAACTGAACTGTTTCTATGTGTGGTCTTCATCTGCTCTTGCTTTGTCCGATCCGAGTGATTCAACCAACGTTTTGATTCATCCCATATGAAGCTATCATGTCACTGAAGAAAATTATCTGGCCAACAAAAGACCAAGTTAATTGATTGGGGGCCAAGGTCATAATGTCAATGGAAGATTAGCAATCGTACAAAAGAATCAAAATCCTTCGTGTGGAAATTTGGAAAAGTGACAAGGTTATTTATTTTAATTGCCCCCATTATAATTGAAACCAATGACCACGCCCATTTCTTTCTTCTACCACACCTTACGTCTTTTTGGAAGATTTTTTCCCCCTTTCGGCCAAAACCCTATCTAGAATGACATCACCCGTAGTTTTTTATAGTAGTTTTTATAATAATAGTAATTTTAGTTGATACACCTAATCAGTAAGGATATTTTAGAAAAAAAATAACACATATTTATTACAAATAACTAATTTAACTAGTTTTCTTAATCCACTCAAATTAACTAACTAGTTTTTATATTAAGGATCAGATGTTATGATATTTTGGAATTGGAATTACTAGCTGGACTAAATTCTAGTTAGATTCATTTGTTCTAATTTGGCCATAATCAAACAACATTCAAATCGGCTTTAACTAATTCAACATGTTTTATTTATGTATAATCAAAATACAGGATTTACAACAATATTTAAATAGACACGACGAGTTAAACCTAAAACAATAATTATATAATTTTAGAGAACAACCAGAGAGAGAAAATAAAAAAAAAAATAGTTAGGATGTTCTAAAAAATATTATATAATTTAATTTAACTAATATTTTTAATACACTTAAATTATTTAAAATAATGGTTTAGTTGGAAGATGAAAGAAAAGATGCAACCCGAAAAGGAAGCCAAAAGAATAGGAAAAGGGCGAAAAAGAGACAAGGCCGGGAGGGAGGGAGGGAGGGGGGACAGATACTTTTGGGCCGTTATTGATTGGGAAGAGGGCTGTCCGGCGGTGAGGTCACGGTGTGAAACGACGCCTCTCTATCTACCGCCCACAGTGCCGCCGCGTGGAATCATTCTACGCCCTCCTTCACTCCTTCACTCCATCTGACAGTAACTAACACGCAAACCAATTTTTGTTTTGATAAATATTTTGTTCAGTCATAAATAATGCTACGTGGTTCCACGCTAAATGCAGTTAGATTTTATACGTTTTAATATTAAAAATATGATAATAAATCCTGTAGATTGTGCTATCATATAAACAATTCGATAAATTCTTGAATTTATGTATGTAACTTAAATAATAATGATTCCAAAACAGGAAGCAGGACTCATCATATTCCAAACAGCCAGCCGCGTTTGTTTGCGGCTTTTATTATTCACACAACCCCCCATCTCCTTCTCCTGCCTCGCCCTCGTCAACCGTTCAAACGTGTATTTCATTTACTGCATGATACAGTGAGTCTGAGAAAATTGAATAACACTAACACTGATTTATAAATTATGTAATTTGCTGAAAATTTATTTAAGATATTTAATAGAAAGGAATTGAAGTACTAACAATAAATATTATTGTATAATAATAGGGTCATGGTGACATAATGATAAATACTGTACGATATAAAAGAAAACATATTTCTGGCGTCGTTCTCGAAAAAGACAATAATGGTGCTGTACTCCTACATGCCATGACCATGAGAAGAAAAAGAGGGAAGCGTGTGTTTTTGGAAAATAAACGGAGGAGGGGGAAAAGTCGAAAAAGTAAATACCAAAAGTCACTTTCACGGGTTTACCTTTATGATGATCCATACGTGTATCGACATCATCGGAGGCAGCAAGTTCTGCTTTTTCGAATTAACCAAAAAAAAAATTCTCTAAAACGGAGCAGCATTTAAATAATGTTAAGGGGAGCCCATGTATGAGTCAATGAGCCCATTTATGAACAAAGGGAAAGCCCAAAGACATCAAGACCACCCACACTAGTTTCTTCTGGGATGACCCCACGTGGCGTCCTCTTCCTTGGGTTTTCAACCTCGTTCAAGACTCTATGGTTCTAAAAATATTTTTTTAAAAAAAATTAATATCTGTTAAGTTTTTAAATTTGTATAAATTAAGTTATGTTGTGTCAGACGCCACGTAACAGATCATTTATGATTATAAAAATGGAGTGCGTGTCAGAAGTGAACACAACTAGCTGACAACAGACAAAACAAAAGTATGTGCTCCTGCTTAGATTAGATCTCACTGAACTGTTTTTAATTTTCCTATTTATTATTATTTCGACGAAACAGTTTGACGATGAGCCTAGCAGTGCTGGATCTCACTCTCGTGAGTCGTGACTCATTCATTTTTTTTTTTAATTTCTAATAATTAGATTAACATATTTTAGCGATTCATATTTTAAGTTTTTATAAACTATTTATAAAAAAATTTAAAAAATATTTAGTGTATTTACAAATCATTAGAATTAAATCTTAACATACTAGTATATAATTTGTAATTTATTTGTTTCGAAAAGGAGTTAAATCTGAGCCGTTAAAATATTAATTTAAGGATTAAAAAAAAAAAAGAAGACGAAAGAGAAAAGATTCCGAATCGGACTCATCAGTACGCGCCTGCGTCTCCTTTTATTTCTTTTCTTGTTTTCTTTTTTTAAAGTGAAACTCATTTCTCACCTCTATATATACACATTTTCTCCTTTTAATTAAATATTTTAATTTTACTTTATCGGTATCGTTAGCAGTGCTGTACATATCAAAGTCACAAAGACTGATGATGCTAATAAAGTAAAGTTAAAATATTTAATTAACTCAGAAAAGTGTAGATATCAAACTTAAAAATTGATACAGGGTAAAAGTACCAGTAAAATGATTTTTTCTAATTTTTTCCCTTAAAGTTAAATATATGTCTGGTTTGGTGTAAATAATGAAAAAAAGTTGTTCATATGATATTTCATGGATCAAAATGACTCTCAGGTCATACTTTAAAAGAGATTATATACATAAAAAAGGATTAAGTAATAATTAAGAATGATTTCTTTTCCATCAATTTAATCAAGTGAATCATAAAATTAAATAAAGAAAGCCGTGCCTGCGTGGGTTGTTCATAAATTGTTGCTAAGCAAAGGAAATGATAACTATATATGCCTCATTTTTATAAAATACTCATCCGGTCCTTAATATAAGACCTATTTAACTAATTTGACTATATTAAAAAAGTTAGGTTAGTTAGTTAATTGTAAAAAATATGACATGTTTTTCCTAAAACATTATAATCATCTTCCTTAATATTCTACCTCCCTCTTTTACTTGATTGCGGTTGAGGGAGTATCCATAGGGGTAATTTAGAAAAAATTGATAAATTTAAAAAAAATAGATCTCATATTTAGGACCAAAATCAACTCAATAATTATATCTTATATTAAAGATCAGAGGAGTATTATTTTCACGGAATGGACGAGAAAGTTACAGTGTAAAAACTTGGGATTCTAGATTTCTAATTTTGAACAATAAGTAGGATTTTTTTCCCACGAATAAAAGAGGGATTACCATCTTCAATATATTTATATATATGTATTGGAAAAGTAAATTAAAGTAATTCCTTTTATCATAATCATAGAGAGCTGCTGCCTCTCAACCTTTGCTTACTTTTTTTTTTTAAAAAAAATCATAACTCCCACGTCCACTGCTCTCCACGGAAGATTTGAACTTAGAACATCATATTTTAAAAAATCTCAGGAAAAAGTCCCTGGTGATCATTTACGTTGTAAAGCTCCAGTCAACCTACCGTATTTAGATTGGAATTATATATAATACATAATAGTGAGGCTTAATTTCTCAAAAAAGTATATACGATTATTAGCTAGCCAAATGTCAAATAATGATGCGGGCATGGAACTTGTGAAGACAGCAATAATAATGACACTAACCATAAAAAATAACGATAATTAAATTAAAAGGACAGTAAAAGAGCTAATTATAGGAAAAATTGCTATAAAATCTTAAAAAAGAAATATAATTATTAAAAGGTTTCAATAATAACAAAGCAGCACGTAATAACAAGTTCTATTCTCACATAGAAAATCACAACTTCTTATTTTTGAAACCTTTTAGTAGTTATTTTCTGGTCATTATAAGAAATCAAGAGAGAGTGAAATGATGATGGCTTTAGGATTTCATTATGAGCCAAGATTCTCTCTTCTGCTGGCAAACACTTGGGCATGCTTCATAATCCAAAACCTCTCGATCTCTTCAGCTTTTCGACCCGGGATTCTACCAGCTATCAGACCCCATCTGGGAACCAAAATTAATGTGTCACTCCCAAAAATTAAAAAGAAATAAAATAAAACAGAAGGAAAAGACACAGAATAATACACACACATGGAAAGATTAAAAGGCGATAATAACTTTCGTTATCAACCTTTTGATGGTGCTTCATGGGATGGCCCCTTGTGCTTCACAAATAAAGAAATAAAAATATATATAAATTTATGGAGAGAGAGAGAGAGAGAGAGAGAGAGGAGTGTGCGGATTTCTAGGGCACAATATATTTTTAATAGTAAATCTATCATCGTATCTTACTATATTAAAATAATGTCGATTCCTGTTTTTCTGTCCGGCCGGAATATAATCACAATCATTCAATGTCATATAATTATAATTAACTGACATATATAAATATCACCGCAACACCTGAGGCCCCCTATGATGTGTACGTAACTGCAAAAGGCCAGGTTACCAAATAGTAATTAATAACATCGTCTTTTAAAATTTGATTTGATGATTTCAATTAATATATAATATTTTGAATTTTTTATAATAAATTTTGAATAGAATATATTATATTTGCAAATTTTTATACAACAGCTTCGAATAAAATTACCTGCAGTTTGGATTATATATCTTTTTCAAATTTTTAATGAGTTCACACTTGAACACAATCAATAATAGACTCCCACAAAGAAATGTAACGCGAGGACATGGAATCTATTTCATCATGCCACACGAAGAATTATTACAACTTATTTACTCGGAAATACGTATTTTAAGCACGTCTAATGAAATATAAGTAATTCATACAAGTTCATAAACAAAATCTTTTGAAAATACGCATATATCTCAGAGAAATAGCTAGCTACCCAGAAAGAGAAAATAATGGAGACGAAAATTGAGTAATCAAAGCAATCAACGGTTTTTTTCCTTAAATTGGGATCGACTTGAATCGCCAGAGAATTAAAATTTTTGGAGTATTTTCTGATATTTTGTCATCATAATATTCAGATATGGTTCGATCCTATACATGAGTGAAAAGGGTCCTTCCATACCCTTGCCACTGGAAGAACAAGCAAAGAGAATAATAGATTAAGATAGAAGACGAGACAAAACTATGTTTGCCACCGCAAGAAAGGAAGCAATATAATATTTTAGCACGACCAATAGTTTTTTGCAGTGGCCAGTGATGATGATGATGATGATATATATATATATATATATATATATATATATAACTGGAATAAAGCACTACTTTGATATTGAAGATGGAACAAAGCTAGCTTTAATTTACCTGTCTCCAACGAGTTTGTACATTCTGCGGATGAGATCTTCTTCCTCCTCTGACATGTTTATGAACTCCCACTCGATACTGCTCACCTCTGCAATTACATGCAGCATACTAAAACATAGGTCGACATATCAGGTGGCTGAAGCCTAAAGCCTAAAACCGAAAAGCCTGCTATGACTGCAGACACAGAAATGTGTAATCTTCTTCAAAAACTATTTTCGACCTAACAAAGTTGAAATCATTGGGTGAGAGTTGATAAAGTATGATGGAAAACAGTGAAAGAGCAGGATCAGATCTGCATGCACAAAGTCTCTCAGATCTGGAACCGCAAAGCATTAGAAATAGACAAAGTGAAAGCTGATCAGTTTAACATAAAGAAGAACAGTCTGAAATAACGGGAATTAACAAGACAACCTCTGCCGGTCGATGTCGCTCAGATCTGAAACTTTAAGGAAATAGTTCGCGAGCTTTAGAATAAAGGAGATTAATGGTGTGGTCAGTAGAATAAGTGACAACTGAGTTTAAGAAAATAACGAAGAAAACCAGAAATTAACTTGGCTTGTTATTAATCCATATATATATATATATATATAGTGATGGAAAGAGATGGAATGAATTTGACCTTCATAGTCAGACCCAGAGGCAGTAGCCTCGTGCTGCCTTCTTCGCTGTTTGTCCATGGAACCTTCCAGAAGTGGCTAGCTAATTAAGAGAAGAATTGAAAAGAGGGCTTGCGATTTAAAGAAGCAGAATAATAAAGAGCTTAGGTACAGGCTTTTCAGTCGAGAGACCTTCGGGAAAAGTTTAATCTCGAGGGCTTAGAACAACGGCGCTTCAGAGGCTTGACTGCCGTTTCTTCTTGGCCACCTGGCAGACTGCTAGCCGTTGATTACATCTGCGGCTATGCTGGCGCCACGTTGGCCCTAGGAAATGCCAGCTTAAAATTAGTGCAGCGTAAATGTACGTTTTTTATTTGGGGGGGAGGGGTTCAACTACCGTCAACTGCCACAGAGATAGATGTTCGGAAAATGAAAGTGTAATTTCTATTGAGATTTCCCATTCACGAGTTTATTTTATAATTTACAAAAATTAATGAATTATATATATTAATTGAAATATTTAGAATGGAAACATAAGAAGCGGATTATAACTTATCGCATGTAATGATAGGCAAGCATTTGAAAATTTCGTTTGGCACGTACGTATACATGTGTGTGTGTATCATATAAACGCTATGATCTAACTAAACATGATCAGTCATCTGTTATATAATACTACCTCCGGTCCTTAATATAAGACCCTATTTGATTTTTATTTTGATTCTAAATATAAGACCTCAATCTACTTTTTCTCTTATATTTACGTATTTTTTTTTAAAATAGCGCTTCTAACAATGATAGTTCTAATCAATACATTTGATTAATAAGGATATTTTAGGAAAGACAACACCTATTTAGGACAAATAATTAACTCAACTTACTTCTGTAATTTTTTCAAATTAGTCAATTGACTCTTATAATTAGAACCGGAGGTAGTATGTTATTATAGAACAAACTAACGAACTTGAATCGATAAGCCAAGTAGCAACTGAGCTCTTCGTGCGTCCGTTGTCACAAAACACGAAATATGAAAACACACCAATTGAATGATCTGAGAGAGAAAGGGGGGGTGGTCAAAATTATTGTAGGAAATTAAAGGGAATAGTCGGAGACTATTGAGAGGTGCCATCCAAGCAACAGGAGATAGAGACCGGGGAAGAGTCCCGAATACAAATAAAGACAGAGGAGACGGATAATAAGGAAATGAATAATATAAAGACAAAAAAAAGTTGAGCACTTTTGTTGAATTGATCCACCGCATAGTGCTTGGTGGCCCCCACGAGCTTTTGATGTTTTATCTTTTTTTTTTTTTTTTTTGCCAACTTTTGATAGTTTATCCACACCACTGTGTTTACGTCGTATTGTTAGTTTCTCTAAAGTGACTTCTTTATTATTATTTATGTTAAAAACTACCTCATTGATAATTTTTTTAATATGTGCAAATTATTTGGAAGAATTTGGAAAAAAATATTTTAGGGTCTTATGTTTAAAACCAAATTTAATCCTTTTATTAATTCTTATATTTAGGATTAGTGAGAATAAATATATTTGCTGCGATAAATGCAATGACAAGCATGAAGGGGTGCTGAAAGAAATAATGAGGAACAAGTCAAATGGAGACAACAAGATTCCAACAAACGCCCTATGTTATTTCTCTTGTTATATGTATGATGTTCATTGTATTACATGTAAACATTAGTGTGCGCTGGTTAAAAAAAATAAAATTAACGTGTCATTCATTTCCTAATTAAACAGTCAACAATTTATATTGGGCGCTCAGCTGGTACCCAATTTCGACTCAATTATAAAGTCCATTGATTTTCGACGTTAAAAATCTGTTATAAATTAAACACACTTATTTGAATCATTCATTTTTTTTTTTGAGCGCCGGGAATATTGGGAATGAGTAATTAATGCGTCAAAGTCATGTTAGTTAGCGATAGTTGAGTTAGTTGCTATAATACTCTTGAAAGTGAATTAGTTATATATGATTAATTAAGTCCCTACGTTAATATATGCAAGGGATATATAAAGGTAAATTGATTTAGCCTTACCTCACATAAAGGTAAATGTTTATGAGCTTCTGCATTTACACGAATATAACCTAGAAGCTAATGCTGATACGAACAACCTCATTGTAATAGCTGCACCAGCCTAGCTAACATGCTCAACTTTCTCCCAACAAGTTTTTTGGTATAATTTGGAGTATTCTCAAATCACTTTAGACTTAAAATTAGTTTATATTGGATCGGGAAGATTATGGTAAAGTTCATCTCAACAAGTACATTTTCGGGGGTCTGGAACTTTAATCGAACAGTGTGTGCGCTTTATAATGAAAGCTTATTTTGAACTCACACACAGGCGATAATGTTCCAAATAATTATCGATAGAAGAGAATAATTTACGTACGTAGTTTCTTTGACTGGAAGCACGAAAAATATCCTGTTGACTGGTGAAAATGAAACCACTGATGAACATTCACGTGATGACATCTAAAAACTGAGTCAGCGTTTTCATTACCCAAAAGAGATCCAGCCTTGCCGACAAGGAGAAGGAAAGAGATAAAGACTAGTACCCAAAAAAAAAAAAAGTTGCAGCAGGATTTTACACAAATTAAAAAAGAAGAAGAAAACGATGGTTGTCATTCTTATAAGTAAGTTGCAGTGGAGTTGGACATTTTACCTTGGTTAAAAATTTAAAAGAACAAACGGGGAAGGGAAAAAGTGAGAGGCCGACACAAAAAGGTTAAGTGGATTAAGATGCTGAACAATCTCAGAGGAAAAACTACTTGCGATGGGCTCATAGAACTTTAATTTGTTAAACCAAGTTGATATGGGAACCTGGGAAGACTTGAGACTTTTGTTGAGATCATCAAAGATAAAATATATTAAACGCGAGATAAAAAGAATTCTTACTGTGTGACTGTGATGATCTATATATTTAAAAGAAAAAAAGATATGAAAAGACACAAAAGGAGTGTATTAGGAAGTCAAAAGCTTCAGTCACTTCCGGTTTCAGATTTAGAATTCATCCTGCTATTACCCCGATGTGATGACAACAAATTAAATTTGCATATATATACCTGCGTAGCTATTAGAAACAAAATGCTAGTAAAACAAATTGAATATATAAAAGAAAACCAAATGAAGAAGAGACTGGACGAGCCGAGTAATTACAAACATGTGTGTGCGCGCGCGCGCGCGTGCAGACAAATATAATTAAAGTTGAAGTCTTTTTTTAATCAGTCCGTATTGTTTTCTTCATATGGCACCTCGTGGAATGGATAGATTATTGTCTAGAGGCATGTGTGGGTAGTGATAATTTCGGGGATATTCTTAATAATAAATTCCATAATCTCGTATCTTATATATTAATATAATCACGGTGATAAGTACAACATATGATATATGTAACTGGATCCAGTCCCAAAAAAAAAAAAAAACTGGATCCATTTTATTGGAAGGAGTGCGAAAAGGTCAGTTTATGCTTCTTCCTATAACTTCCCACAGGCATCTGCTTGTTTCACACTACTTCGGATTTTTAATATAAGATCTTATTTGATTTTTATTTTGATCTTAAATATAAGACCTTAATCTAATTTGTCTCTCATATTTATATATTTTTTTTTCCAAGATAGTCTTTTTAACAATGATAGTTCTAGCCAATATGCTTGATTAGTAAGGATATTTTAAGAAAGACACTACTTATTTATTACATGTAACTAACTTAACTTTTTTTTTAATATTTTCAAATTAATCAAATAGCTCTTATAATTTGGATCAGAGGTAGTACTACATATGCTCTGACCTCTCAAGTCACAGCAAGGGAAAAAAAACAGTTTGATCGAAGACAGAGTAAACTGTTTCAATGTCCATTAATTATATACGTATAGTCATCTAACTGCAAAAGCATTTTAAAGTTGGAAGTAATATATATATATATATATATATATATATATGTTTTTTTAACATACTTATCTCTGACCAATTTGTGCATCCTTTGAGTAAAATCTTCTTCCTCCTCTGACATCCTTATGAATTCCCCCTCCATCGGCCAAAACACTGTGCATAATCTCCGTCAGATTAAATTAAACTATTTCTAACACAATAATTTAGATAATTATTTGGTTGTAAAGTTTCAGAAATTATTTTATTATAATTAATAGCAATCGAATAATCTGTGCACAGGAAGAGGAAATCGATCCAAAAAACGACGCAGAAATAACGAGACCAGCAGTGAATGCATAAACTTTTTTGGAGGGAACAGTTCTCTCGCACGCGCGCCCAAAAATGACCCATAGCAAGAGATTATAGATACATGCTTTTTTTTTTTTTTTGCAAAGTGTGATTAACATAAAAGGCAGTTTCAAAAGTGTAATTAATATATGAAGTAAAGCCAGAAATTAAAAATAGAAAAAGTTATTTCAGCTTTAAGTGGCTTTTGGGTTAAAATTCAGCCGCCACTAATATTATTCCAAGAGTAATAGCTAAGGACACGAGTGAGTGAATGTTCTAAAAACTTTACAAAAATATATCAGAGATTGCAGAATGGATCGCAAGTGCACACAGGAACTCATAAAATTTTGATATTCTTTTTTGCCACAACCAAAAAAAAATTGATATTTAGGATAATGTTTTATATTCTGCCATAGACCCATTATATATTAAATATATGGTCCATAATTTTGTGTCAGACGTCCCCTCCTCCATTTTTTAATGGGATAGCCGTTTGTCTGAGCAGTAACCAACAACAAAATCAAGAAGACCAGACAACTACTACTTATGTGCATGAATTTATTTGTACGACTATTTTTTTTTCTTTTCAACTTTTTGTTTAATCAGGTGATACTATTTTACTACTAACATTGTAGCTCAATTTGCGTGCCTGCCTCGATATATATGATGTGAATAGGCTCAATTAACTTAATGCTTTAAAAAGAGGAAATAAAAAATAATTAAAAACAAAATAGTTTCCACTGAATAATTAAGAGTATGAAAATGGTTATATAATGGATATCACCAATATATAATTCAACGTGTAAATAAACTGAAATAAAATGTATGATGACTCGGTTATACTTGTTCCAGTACATTGATATGGTCTATGTACGGGCAAGGCACGATGTGGCTTTTGGATTGTTCGGCTCTGCGAAACTTCGTAAGGGCCCAAGTGCCA